TATATATATATATATATTTCATTTTATTTATTTAAAGATCCCCCCCCCCCAAAGTTAAGTTTTTTCTTTTTTCAATAAAATTTTCATTGATTTATTATTATTATTTTCTTCACCCCCGAATTCTTTTTTACTTCCCTTACTTTTCAACCCACATACATCCAAGTACGTCAGAGAGTATCGTTTCTTTTGCGAAAGTAAAATGGATAAATGATTAAAAATAGGGAGAGTGTTTGTGTATAAGAGAAAGAGAGAGAGAGAGAGAGAGAGAGCAATATGATCTCTAGGGAAAAAGATCTGGGCGTTTAGAAAGCTATTGCGGCTGAGCAAAACGTGGTCGTTGTTATTTGATACGTAAGTCCGTATCGTTTGAAGTTTCACAATCGTTGGGTTCGTCGATTTGAAAAAAAAGGGTAATGTTGATTGAACGAAATACAAAAATAGAAAAGAAAAGAAAAGAAAAGAAAAAGTTAAATGTAAAATGATTCAAATAACTAATCAAATTGATCATTTCAAAGTAAAATGATTAATTCAAAAACAGTTACAAATCGATCTCACATGCGTAAGATATATTTTTTTGTTTTTTCTTGAACTTGTTCAATCGTGATCTCACGTTACTCGTCATCCACTCAACTAAGATGGCTATAAGAGAAAAAAAAAAGAAGAAAAAAAAAAGAGAGAAGAAACTACGAAGAAAAAGGAAGTATATATAATTCGTATAACAGGCCCCTTTTGACACGGTTCGTTTCGTGGCGTAAAACCGAGACCAACGTGTCGAAGCAATTATCGTAAGCTATTAGTATAAATGGCCCAGGGCTAAATTCTTGACATACTTCAAAAGTGAGCCTCTCTGTTATAAGGGATGGAATCTTTTTGAAAAACTAACTATCCCTTATGTAGTAAAAAGTTTTCAAACATACATTTTGTTTTCTAAATTTTGTATAGATTACGAGGTTCTTTGAATCATCCTAAAAACATTTATCGACATTCGTGTCAAATAATACAATGAAAATATATATTTCATTTACATAATCCTCAGGAAAAAAAAACACACACATCTATATCCACTTATGCATAAGAAATAAGGGAATGTGGATTATTTCATTTCTTTTTCTTCCCTAAAGGTAATAAAAACATGTGGTGACGTGACGTAGCCGATATATGAATTATTTATATCTAAGCTATAAATTATAAACTCGTTCTCTCAACGTATGTCCGATGATATACGTCAATGTCTACAACTCCTACGATAAACCAAGAAGGAGAGAAAGAGAGAGAGAGAGAGAGGAATTGTGTCTCTATAGAATGAACGGAGAAAGTGGGACGGTTCTTTTTTGATTTGGTAGGACGGACAATGGACACCATAAATCGTTAAGACGAATACATGTTATGACGTTTACAAGGAAAGAATGTAACTACGATTCGCAGGTGAATATTAAGTTTTAATTTTACAGTTATCCTTTTTTTTTCTAATACGATATTCTAGTGTCACATATTTGTATACTGAAAAAAAAAAAAAGAAAAACAAAATGATAATTAAAATACATTAGTTACAAAACATACCAATGAAATCACGTATTATAATATAATCGTTATAGAATAAAATTTGAAATTTCGCGGGTAAAAAGTTGGCGCGATAGATCTCGTTTAAATTGATAGCGACTATCGATAATGTCGATTTGCGCGGGCGAATTGCGGTTTGATTTAAAAATGGCGGGTTTTCTTCGAAGTCACCAAGATGGCGGTATAGTAGCGTAAAATACAGGATATAATACTAGGGACTCTCTACCACGCCCAATCGTCGTTGTCCGCGCGTCTATATCCCTCACACGATACTTTCTCTTTGTTCCACTCACGGCGCAGCATGCGCTTATGTAGCGCCGTCATTCTTACTCGTCCTCCCCACCACAACTACCACCACCACTACCACCACCACCACCACCACCATGACCACCACCAGAACCAGAGTACCAGTACCACCACTACTAGTACCATTACCGCCATTACCACCATTACCACCACTGGTGGATCTCGTCAGTGGCGGTGGCGGTGGCGGCGGCGGTAACGGCGTCGGTGCATCGCGGGTTCACTCAGAGAACGACGGAGCATGCCAGTAGGTTTTTATCCAGCGTACGGTACGGTAGGAGGCAAGACATTTCGATCTTTTTAATAGTAAGGAATTGTGCCTGTGAGAGGAGGCGATTTAAAAGACGATCACGAGGAATTGTCTATAACTGTCCGTTCATTATTTTAGACTCTGTCGCACGTTCTGTGTTAGAAAGGGAAGGACAGAGAAAGATAAATAAATGTAGTAATAGTATTAGTATTAGTTATACAGTGTGACAGTAACCGTCGATGTAGTAGTAGAGAAGTGTAGTATAGTAACGTAGTAGTAGTAGTAGTAGTAGTAGCAGAGTAAGAGAATTAGATTGGGTGGGGGTGGTGGAGGAAAAGGAATAAAAGGAGAAGGAGGTGTGGTAGTGTAGTGGTGGAGGTGGTGTGGTGGTGGTACTAGTGGTGGAGGTGGTAGTGGTGGTGGTGGTGGTTGTGCCGGTACTGGTGGTAGTGGTGGTGGTGGACCGCGGTTCGATAACCGACAAATCGCATCGTTGCAAACCGGCCTGGACCGCATCGTCGAATACGCGTGTTCTCTCTCTTATCCTTCAATAAAACCGAAGGAGGAAAAGAAAGACAACATCCTGGTAGTTCTTTACTCGTGGTCAAGGCGACACCTAAAGAAAGGATCACTCTCATCGACGGACGACGAGAGTTCTGCCGGCTTAAATCGGTTCTCCTCTACAAGCGCACATCCTACGTGCAAATACGAAGTAAGAGAAAGATAGAGAGAGGTGCGCGCTTGCTCACTCTCGTTGGCGGCGCCGGCGGCAGCCATTGCCTTTTCTTCTTTCATTGTTTGTCTCTCTCTCTCCTCTCGCACTTACGATCGCGCGCTCCTCTCTGCGTCGATACGTTGCGTTATTATACCGGGTGTACCCGTACGGTACTTCCCCCACCCATTTTTATTTTCTCCTATCTCCCACTTTTTCTATTTTTTTATTTTATTTGTTTCTCCTTTTTTTTTTTTCCTATCATCTATCGTTTTATAATTTTTTTGTTGTTCGTTGTTTTGACGACTAGCGTAGTACACTACGCGAGTTTTAAATGTCTATGAAATTTTTTTTAACATCGTTCGTGACGATACTCATGTGTTCGTTACATACGACTAACCCAGTCGATAAAACAGACACCCTCCTCTCTCTCTTTCTCTCTCTCTCTCTTTCTCTCTTTTTCTTTCTCTCTTTCTCTCTTCTTAACCACACACTCTCTCAACATATCTCTCGCAACCATCTCTTTCTCTTCCCCGTATATAAACACTATGCACGTGCATTCAATACATGTGCGTGACACGCACGTCGGAGCCGGGTTTCTCTCTTTCTCTTTCTATTTCTATTTCTATTTCTCTTTCTCATTCTCTCTCTCACTGTTCGAGTGACGTTAACCTCATCCTAATCTACTCGCGTCCTCTTGAAATCTCGAACGAGAGCTTATATCCGGCGATTTTCTCACGTTAGTTGAATATCCTTCCTAAATCGATAGTAGTTATTTCTTTTTCTATCATTTATTTTATTTAAAAAAAAAAAAAATAAACTTACAAATTTATTCTCAATCGTATTTTTATTTTTATTTTTAATCTTATCTCTTATGGTAACAAATTACAAAATTTGAATTTTTCTATTAGAATATTATTTGAAAAAATATAAATCTGTACTTTGTTTTTATGTATATAAATATTTTTTATAAAAACGATAATTATTTTATGATTATTTTTAATGGTTAATTGATTCACGTATTACATTTGAAACAAAGATGGTAATTTATACGAATATATAAAAAAAAAAAGATCGATCATTTAAGAGATCAATTGTACAATTTTCAAAGTAATAAATGTTTCGATGGTAAAAAGAAAGAAGAAAAAAAATAATAAGATGGGGTGGTGGTGCATATGGGGAAATATAGAAGAAGTAGAGGAAGAATGGGATTGGAACGGTCGATTCTTGTCAAACATGGGGATAATGGTTAGGAGAAAATTTATGCGACATCGATATTCGATGAGGAAGAACAATATTCAACGAATGGAAATCGATGTTTGAAATATTTCTTTTCTTTTCTCTCATATCATTTAAATTTTATTGAATTCCATTTTTATGCGTATATATCTTTTTATATTCATCTATTTATCTCATTTTCCATTTCTATTTATCTGTTTTCCCGTCTAGATAGGGGTTGATAGGGGACATGATAGAAATCTTTTATACGATAGAAAGAAATAAAGAAAAAAAAAAATAAATATAAAAAATATTTAAAGAGATAGATAAATATGATTAATATTAAAATTAACGTGATTTTAATTAAAACAAATCTTTTATAATTTATTTAAATGGAAAATATATATGTAAAAAATCTAATATTAAAAGATAACAAGATAAAAAGATAAAAAGATATACGTACGATGAATCTCAGAACTACCACTACTATCTAGCAATTAAATAATATGTAATAATTATTAATTAAATTATTTTTATGTAAAAATTTAATATGAAAAGATGAAAAGATAAAAAGATGAAAAGATGAAAAGATAAAAAGATGAAAAGATGAAAAGATAAAAAGATAAAAAGATGAAAAGATAAAAAGATATACGTACGATGAATCTCAGAACTACAACTACTATCCAGTAATTAAATAATATGTAATAATTATTAATTAAATTATTTTTATGTAAAAATTAAATATAAAAAGATACGAAGATAAAAAGATATATATGTAGAATGAATTTCAAAAATACTTGAATTACTACTACTATTTATTTGAATGCATAAAAAAAGAAACTAGATAAATAACCACATGAAAACTCACGTTTTCAATTTTTCGGAATGTTAGAAAAAACGTGTTTTAAATGATAAGATTAAAGTGTCCCTTCTCATGAATAAATATTGCATCTCTTATCTAATCTAATGTTAGTTTGTAATAAAGACTTGTAATGATTATCATTTTCCAAAATGTTTAGGGTATTCGTTAACATCAGTTGTAAATTTGTAGTCGAGAACGAGACATCTGATATAGTGTGAAAGAATTTTTTTTTCTTTTTTTTTTGTTCAAATTTATTATTTATTTTTCAAAAAGAAGATAAGAAACAAGATATATATATATATTTATATATATGTGATATAAAATTTGGTTGTAATTTGTAGCAATGTCGAAAAGAAAAATCAAAGAATCTTTTAGTGAATCATGTAACAGTGAAAAAGAAATCTGTTACGAGATTTATCAAAATTTGAATAACACTGATGATGAGAAAGAATTGAGATTTTTAAGAAAACAAAATCAAGATAGAATCGTATTATCTGATTTTCGTTCGAATATTGATAAATGCCTTATTAGGGATTGTGAATTTAATGGAGAGATTTTTTAATAAAATTTTACAAGAATTTTTTCCTATCGAGGAAGAAAGTAAAATTGATGATAACAAAAGATAGTACAATTTGATTTTACGAATAGAATAATTGTTTAGTTATCGATAGAAATTATTTTATTTTATTAAAATAGTCAATCTAATTTAAGTAATTTTATCAAAAAAAAAAAAAGAAAAAAAAGATTATTAACAATTATTTAAAGAACTGTAATGAAATGATAATCAAAACAAAAACAAAATTTCAATCGTAAATAATTGTTATCTTTTACAAAATTGTCACAGAAAACAAAAAAAAACAAAAAAAAGAAAAGGAAGAAGATAAATATAAGAAAATATTTACAATTATTAATAATATTAAGAATAATTATTAAAGTTATCTCTCTGTGTGTGTGTATGTGTGTGTGAATATCAGAAAAGAAAAAGGACAAACTTTACTTTTAACCATAATCAGCAATAATATTGCAATTCGAAAAAACAAAAGAAAGAAAATAAAAATTAAAAGCGCGTGAAAAATTAATATTACATCGACCAATAAACGTCGTTCGTACAAATCGAAAGGTGGAAGTAAAAAAAAAAAAAAATAAAACAAAAAAAAAACAAAACCAAAAAGTCAAGTAATTAAATTTAATGATAAGAATTTATTAAACGTGAACAAAATTCTATTAATTCGTTGAATATAAAATATTAATTGATAAAGAGGGGGAAAAAAAAACAAACAAACAAAATCGTAGATTAAATTGAAAACACGATTTGAAAAATGTATGAAAGTATTTAAAAAAAAAAAAAATAATAAATAAATAAATAAAAAACCAATTCGCGGGAAAACATTTCATTAAATAATTCCATTTATATTCCATTAAACAATTCCAAACAAAAGTAAAAAAAAAAAAAGAAAAAAAAAGAAATTAAAATCGTACAAACGTTTAAATAATAACAATTCAAACACAAATATCCCACGTGATTCTAATTACAAGAAGAAGGAGGAGGAGGAGGAGGAGGAGGAGGAAAAGTTTCGTTAATATTCCGTTCCAGTTGTACAAACAAAAAGGGACACTACGTATATTGTTTAACAAATAGAATAAGCTTTTCGTAATACGAAAGAGAAAATGCGTCAACTGTAAACCCCCCACCCCCCACCCCACCACCCCGCCCCCTAATTTGGAAGTTATATGTTTCTTTCATTAATATCATTTTCCAAAATAACATTTGTACGTTCCTTTACGAGAGAATGGAAGGGAAGGGAAGGGAAGGGAGGGGAGAGTAGAGAGGGATGAAAATCCAATTATTACTCATTATAATCCTACCCTCTTTGCGTAGTCACAATTTCCATTTGTAACGAAAAACTTTTCTCTTAATTAATTAATAAAATATCCTTTTTTTAATATCATTCACACCTTTTTATCCCACGAAGAACCACAACAATTTTCTTTTATTTTTATCATCTTTTCCCCCCCCCCCATTTCTTTTACCTTTCTTCTAATATTTCTAATTATTTATTATTATTATTATTATTATTTATATTATGTATATTTATATATGGTTTATTATTATTTTTAATTAATAGTTTTTATTTAATAATTTATTTTATTTATTTATTTTTTGTTTAGTTATAATTTGATATTTAATAATTTAATTATATATATATATATCTATATATAATTTATATATAATTTATTTAATTTTTTAATTAACTACTTTATACATTTAATTATTATTTAATAAATTAATAATTTATTTATTTATTTTTTTTTAATTATAATTTGATATTTAATAATTTATTAATTTATATATATAATATATTATAAAAATGATATTATAATATATATTATTATTTTTAATAATTTAATTTAATGTATATATATATGTTTGTTATTTATTTTTTATTTTACTTTAAATACCTTGTTTTATCTTTTGAATTTTATTAGCATGTTCTTCATCTTCATCTTTTTGATCTTCTGTTTCTTCTTTCTTTAGTCGTCGTCTTCTTCGTCTTTTTCTTCTTTTTCTTGTTCTTCTTCTTCATTAACTTAACAGGGAAATTTGAAATCAATTTATAAAATGATTGTAGTTTCGATAACAACATTCGTACATTATTAAACGACGTAGAATTATGATCGTTCTGACGTAGGAAACGATCGTTGTTCTAAGTCGTCATCGTCTGGTCGGAAGTTATTCGAGATAATTTTCACGTGGGCTTCCGACCTCGTAGACATTTCATTCTTTCTCACTCTATCTCACTCTTTCTCTTTTTCACTCACTCTCTCACTCTTTATAGATAATATATGTATATATATATATATATATATACATATATACATGCATACACTTATACTATTATCGTTCAAAAGCTTGTAAGGGGGAATCAACTACGTAAAATCCTAGGAATTAATAAATTTAAATTAAAAAAAAATAAAAATAAAAAAATAAAAAATAATTTACATGGTTTTATTAGCTAAGTGATCATTAAACTATTTTGAGTATAAAAATTCCTTATTTTTTTTATTTTTTTTTTTTTACACACGTCAAATGATATTAATACGATGTAATATATTCAAATAGGTCAAGTAGGCAATTTAAAGATCACCATTTTAAATAATTCATTTGAAAAGTATTTATTGACCTAGTGATTTATGTAATCTATTAATATATATATATATAATAAATAAAAATATATAATAAAATTACTATATATAAGTGAATTTAAAAATTTAAATAAATTTATATATATAATAATATATATTATATATTATAATAATATAATTATATATATAATTATTTATTTATAATTATAATACACTATTGTTATAATAAATAATAATTATTTATTTATAATTATAATACACTATTGTTATAATAAATAATAAATATTTATATATAATTATAATATATTATTATAAAATAATTATATTTATATATATAAATATATTATATTTTAGTAATATATTATATAATAATATTAAAATTATTATATAATATATTAAAATATTATAGAATAAATTATACTATATATATACTATACTATACTATATATATATATATATATTTAAATTTGTACTATATTTATTTTATTTAAAATTATTATTTTATTATAAAATTATAAATTTTATTAAATTTATATTATATTAATTTATTTATATTTATTTAAATTTATATATGTGGGATGTTTAACTTATATACAACTTTTTATCAATACTGTATTTAAATGATACAATCACAAAAAACTAAATCGCATATTTTTAAATATTAATATTAATATATATATATATATTTGTAATATACTCGTTTGACATTTTTATTTACTGTTTGACGTATCTAATTATTATTATTATTTTTTTAAATTAATCTTCTATAAAATTCCATTAAATTATCTTCAATTATCATCTATTTATATATACCAATATACGTGTGTTTGACGTATAACTAACAACTTCCTTTTTTTCTTTATTTTATTTTATTTTATTTTATTTTATTTTATTTTATTTTTTTTTTATTTTTTTTTATTACTATTTAATAATACTAAATTATCCAATCACGTGTATAATTCCTATTACATAAAGCAAATAAGCTTTTAAATGATAACTTATATGTCACGAATTATATCTCTTTTATTCATTGATATATTATAATACTCTTTATATACGGTGTGACATGTGTAATTATTGAAATAACATTGAAAATTAATGAAAGAAAAAAAAAAAAAATTGAAATGAGAAAGATCAAACGATGACACATTATATTTATATGAATAATCTTTTTTAGTTAGAAAATAATATGATTGAATGAACAATGAACAAATTGAATGATCAAATTAACTTGCAATATTTTCTGTAAAAAATGTTTAAACCTTGATAATGATGATGATGATGATGATGATAATAATGATAGAAGTTGAAGTCATACAAGTTGAATTTAAAGTTTCAATAAGAGGGTTGATTATATAAAGAATGACGAGGGGATGAAAAAAGAAAGGTGTGAGAGACGAACGGTGGTAGGAGGAGGGGTGGTAGGA